ACGGCATTGCGACCCAACCGAGGGCACAACACAATGTTAGCTGTAAGGGGAGAACCACATTGGATATAGTCGGAGTGAACTCATCAGTGCACAATTCTCTCGAGCAGCATCACACAAAGCTCTACAAAATTCAAATCAAAATTGTAACCTCTTCTGCCAGTATTATAGCCAATCGTGTGTAAGAAGCAAGGTGTGATGGACTCTGATTGGATATTAAAAAGGAGCAAGGTGGTCACCTTGCGAATTCCATTAACAAGTCATTTGACACCCTCAACTTCCCAGGACATGACTGAAATTGGGATACAGTACCTCCGCAAACATTATAACTTGAAAACAGTTTACCACATGATCGGTTATATTCCACGCCGGTTTTCTTGTGAGAACGACGAAATGCGTTGTGACAGTGACAAATTTTGTTGTGATGAAAACCTGTACTCGCTGGAGTTGCACACAAACTCCTTGACAACCACGCCCGACTCGAGGGTCAGCGATCCGTCCACCGCGGTAGTAACCCACTGACGCATACACGCATCGATCGTTTCCATCTAATATTGTTTGTGGTTGTTTATTCTATACTGGAGAAGGGACATTAATATCGAATCGACTTAACAATAATACCACTCCATTTGGTTGTGTGTCGTCGATTACGCATTCTCCGAGTGCTCAATCGAATGAGCAGAATAACCAAATCGGCAGACAATTGATCGACCAATCAAAACCCAGATCACTATTTAACTAGCCAATCCAATCCACTCTTCGATCAATGCAACATCAAACTAGTGTGTGGCTTCAATTAGTGTGACACTGAACGATTTTTACATACAAAAGTCAACACAATGAATCGATCGATGATAGATTTGGTGAATCTTAGCACAAAGTCCAGACCAGCCCCTAAGGGGCTGGTCTGTGAAAAACCATCCACGCTTTAAGAAGTACTAAGTAGTACCAAACAGATTGTAGGAAACCAGTATCAACATCGAAATATGTATGTGACTTCAAATAGTGTGATTCCCATTCCACACAGGACAACTTTTTACTAGTACATACAGAGTATTCAGTACAAAGAATCGATCCATGATAGATTAGGCGAATACAAGTCCAAATGTTGGGTAAAAGCACAATAACACAACAACGATAAATCAATCATATTGGAAAAACAATACGGGAAAAGAGATACCTCCCACTTGTACGCCAGTTGGCTCGTGTCGGTGCGGGTGCCCAGAGCTAACATCGTAGCCCACACCGTCTCTGCAACCGCGGAGGCAGATGGGGCATGCAACAAGGTAACGCGCACGCATGGCCTCTGCAGTTAATAGCAGTATTATTAATAAAAAGCTATTTGTAAGTTCCACTGCCGCAATGGCTTGATGCCTTAGGCGGATGGATACCGGTAGGTAGAGGCAACTCGCATTTCGTATACTCTTTCTACTTCCATACGCGCACGTGCTTGGGATAGCAATATTCCCAAATACGGGGAACAACGTTGAATAACTCCGCGAGAAAGCTGCGGTACTCTGAGGGAAAATCCCCCCTTGTAACGTTATAAAAGAAATACAAAACCCATGAAATTCAATAAATGTGCGTTAACAGTTAACTGTAAAGGCTTGTATATTTTTGACGTGACAAAAATCACCACTCGACCTCAGGTTCAGGGGGTCGGTTTAGCAGTTGGGTTTGGAGTAGGTGTTAGCTTCGGATGGCTTCGGAGTTGGAGTGGGGGCTGGGGTAGGTTGGGGCGTTGTGGTCTTCGTTTTCAGCTGTCTGTCGTGGGTCAAGATTCCAAAGTGGTACTCCACGTCGAAATCAAACTTTTCTTCTGGCCTGGGGTCGTACATGCTGTACCAGACGTCCCCTTGCCGACCGTGCGTTTGCATCCACGACATAAACGCATTATAGTACAGATGGGCGTTGTTGAAGCTCGGAGTGTTGTTGGGGGCAATAACCGTGGGAGTGCCCCCCGTGGGCCAACCGGTTTCCGTGATCAGCAGCTTTTGGTCCCCTCCAAACTTTTCCGCCATGGCGTTCCACGCGCCATTGAGGGAGGCCTGTGGCTGAAACGGATCAAAGCTGGCGTCGTAGAAGGGGTAAATGTTGACCCCGATCACGTCCGACGCATCCGCCATGGCTAGGATACTCGGGTCGTCCTGGAGCCAATCAGGGGTCCGCTGGACAGTGCCCACCGGCACGACACGCCCCGTTTCATTCTTGATGCGCAGGCGGATCGAGTTTATTTGCGACGCAATGAAGCTGGCATTGAACGGATCTTCGCTCTTGATGTTTTCGTTGCCCACAAGGATAGATTTGATGGTGGCGGAGTAGTTTTGGACGGCGAGCACGGCCGAATTCACTTGTTTTTGGTACCTATTCCATGATATAGTTTCAGACAATCGTATTGTAAACTGCTAGGTACCAATCTTCGGTGGTCATGAAAACACCCAAGTGTAGCTGCAGGCCGTACTTGGCAGCAATGGGGGCGACGTCGTGGCCGTGGTAGGTGGAGTAAAACGTGCGAACGGTGGTGACGCCGAGCTCAGCCATTTGGGCAAAGTCGGTATCGATTCCTGAGGGAAGTTCGTCTGAAGATTCTGTGTCAATCAGGGGGTATTCCGGCAAGTGAAATGGCGAGTAGCACACCCCTTAACACGAAAGTTAGTTGGTCGTGCGACCAATCGAAGAAATGTTGTAGGCAATTGTACCTGGCCTTGGTGTTGTGTAGGTGCCCAGCGAGGCGGCGAAAGCGCTTGACAAAATGCCAACCAGCAAAATCAAACTCGTTCGTCGCATGCTGGCTGATTTGGAAAATGGCAGTCTAAGTTTCCACTTGACCATTTGCTTCGATAGCTTCAACTATCCAGAGGATAATATTTAAAAAATAACGTTTCTAATAGTATGAATATTTATTGATAAAATGTACTCCGGAGTAACTACGGTAAGCGTGTATAAATAAAATTAGAGCATTGGGTGCTTATGCCGATCTGTAATTCTCTGGGTGCATCTCTGTAGGTCCGCGGACTTGAAGTACTGTGGATAGCATATGAAGTACGTATACAGGCGTACTTACAGACTTAAATATTACAGGCTTCGTCCTGGTACCCACAGCTTTTCTTGACAAGAGGAAGAATATTCCGGAACAATTCACTGGCTGCAACAGTAGTCTTGTTGTTCCGTAATCACTTTTACCAAGAGACCCTTTACCCCCGGAACCCCTGGAACCCATGGACTCCTTGTGCTTACATACAATGCTATTCCCGGGGTTAAGTTGCATCACCAGTGGATAGCTAGCGCTAACGACTGAGATGCAGCATAAATAACTTGGGTTTTGTATGCCAGGAGTCCCAAATGATTACGGAACAAAAGTACTTCGTAGTACTACTGTTGCAGCGAGGGAATTACTGGAATATTCCGACAAGATACTCATTCTGGCACCCCATTCCGACAACGATTCTATTGGCTAATCCTTAGTACGAAGGGTACAGTGAAAGCGTAAGGGTTACATTTACACCTAGAATGAAGACCTACAGTTCTGCGCTAAGTCATTCGTATATGGTGAGGGCATCATGAACTACCGTAAGTTGCAAGACCACTTGCTCACGTGTAAACATACTGTACAGTAACTACAACGACCAGCGGCCTCTTCATGACGTATTCGCATTCATATATTTATCAAACCTGATTAGGAGTACCTGCCGAAATGTCGGAATTTGTAGAAGTATTTGGTGAACTATCGCTGCATTTGAATTTGTACCGGTATGTGATATCAGATTCCATTTCTTTTTCACCTCGATTTATCAATCATTGATGCTATCCGGATTCATAGTATCAAGCAATATTTGGCATGATAAAATGAAATTCCATGTATACGTATAACGATCGACCAAGCATATAGCTAGCTAGCTTGTCACATCGTTGACGAAACGATCGCAAGACTGTCGATCACGCCAAAATTTTCACACCATTAACGGGTAAGTCCGTGGAAGTACTGTGCATAGCATATGACGAAGTTTGGCGTACTTACACACTTACTGCAAACACGAACCCATTATTGTGGGTTCTACTCGAAATTTCCATGTTCGATTGGTTGAATCGAACAGTGGGGCGGTTTCAGAACCGATCAAAATCTCTGTAATAGTATAAGATATTGATATATATAGAGGTTTTTTGCTCGCGAGAAGGTGTAATTCGAAACTTGACAGTACGCCAACGCCACCGTCACCGATACCAGCCACCATCACCGATATCGGTAGGTTCAAGGAAACTACGCCATAGCGCATTCCCATCGGGATCAATCACGTGCGCACATGTACCCCGAATGCAACCGTACTAGAACTTGATTGTTCTTACCTCCCGTCTGCTCATCGCGACTGTGTTATCCTCGGACTTGCTTACTTAACTGTAACCTTATTTACCGGTAGACTTGAGTACATGTAACATGTTTCTTCATGAGAGCACCCGAGACTATAGACGAATAGATAGTGGTAAACTGTGTCGGCGATCACGCCGTTGTGTCGCCGCGACTTTCAGTTCGTGCTGTTGTGTCGCCGCGACTTTCAGTTCGTGCTGTTTTGCGTCAAAGGGTCAACCACCCCAAAACGGCAAATTTCGCCGGAATTCACAATAATTGGTGATCAATAAAGTGGAGTAGGCCCCACATTGCACGACTCATAGTCAAATCAAGTTTAAATTCAAAACAACTCATTTCAGCTAGGGGTTAAGTTCATTTCAGTGGTTATCACTAGCTATCCACTGGTGATGCAACTTATCCCCGGGAATAGCATTGTATGTAAACGCAAGGGGTCCAGGGGTTCCGCGGTTACAAGGGCTCAAGTGATTACGGAACAACAAGACTACTGTTAGAGGGAATTGTTCCGGAATATTCTTCCTCTTGTCAAGAAAAGCGGCAGGTACCCGGACGAAGCCTGTGTCAAGAGGGACGATGCAGGGGGTAGCACTGAGGAGGAACGACGACGAAGAACACTTGTGTGGTCGAGGACAAAACCAAAAGTGAACTGCTTAGCTGACCTATGATTGGGCAGAAATAGTCCGGCTTCTACAGAGAAAGAACACCGGTTAATTTCGGATGACCGGTTATTATCCGTAAGTGACCGAACCTCGGCGAAAAAGGCCAAAGCAAGAACGGTCAAAGTGCCCCTTCTTGACAACCACCCCACTGGGCAACGGACTGCTGAAGGCCTTCGAGACGAAGTTCTCAAAGAGAGGCAATGCCAAAAAGGGCTTATCGAAATATTCGCGGAGGCCAAAAAATGCTAAAGGCATGTCACTACAAAAGCCACCCTGAGAACAGAGGCGAAGTAGGTAGGACAGGAACACACACAAAAATAGTGTTGGGCACATAAGTGCTTGGTTACTCATAGAGTAAGGCAAACGCCTAAGGTAATGCATAAATGCAAGGAGTTTACAATCCTGCCACATAAATTTTGCTGAAAACCACAGAACAGACGCCACCTGTCAACACATGTGTTGAGGTAGAATCTCGAGTGATGTGACTGCACATCAAGGTAGGGCATTTCTCAGGATCGTCCATCCCTGTCCGATATTTCTCAAGATCGTCCATCGAGAAATATTATGATTCCAAAGGAGGGAAAGCAATTCTATTGGTCAAAAGTAAATCGAGTCAAACAGTAAAACCACTCGAACTCATTTCACGTTTTGCGGCCGACCACAGACTTTTGGGCAGGCGACAGTTGCGCACAGCCGACCTGGTCCGACGATGCGACACCGGACACATGAGGTAGCGATTGCCATTCACTCTACCTGTATGCCAGGCTCATCCTCTTGCCGTAGCAGCACATCAAGCCGTCAATGCCCGCGCCGCGGCGACCTTGCGCATGAACCCGGACACACGCGCACGGCCATCGCGGCGCAGACATTGACCGGACCATGGGTCTCGCTCGCCTCCTGGCAGACCGTGCGCGCATGGTCACCACTCGACCGGACCTGTCCTTTGTGTTGGACGGCAACAAAGGCTGGTACGCTCTGTGGCCCAAGAAGGCCCTCGACAAGTTCCGTCACATCGGTTGCCCCCGGTAAGCAGCCATGAAGAAGAGGTATGTGTGCGTTTGTGATGACAACTCAAAGACTATTCCATTTGCTAGAACCTGCACCAAGTCCCTGTGGAAAGCACAGTCCGACATTGTGGCGTAATGGAAGCGCGCCTGATTGCAGGAGGTCTGGGTTCGATTCCCAGCAATGCCATGGCTTTTGTTGTAGCTTTGGTATCTTTGTGAGATTTACTGTGAACCCATTCGCTTTCGTGTTTGGTGATTGCACTTGCTTCTTGGCGTGGTGTGATTATAAAGGGTGCATGAAGGTCGTGGTGGCGATTGAGTGACAGAGGCATCGAAGTGTTTTGGCATTTTACATGATAAGCAGACTCTCGAAATATATATTTGCATGATAATATTTCACGAGTATAGGAAGAGACTCTCAAAACAAATATTTTCTATATAATATTTCACGAGACTTATCTTTCAGCGATACGGTACGGGTTGTTTTGCATCATGTTACATGGACATCACCGGAGTACGGAACATTTGAACCATCATGGGTCCACCAAACGATGTACTTTTGGGGATATGTATTTGAGGTGACCATAGTGACAAAGATGGTGGACAAAGATGGTGACCCCCGTACCTCGATGTAGATCCTTCTCCCCCAAATCGAAACGTTTCACGTCCTAGGATCTCGTAGGATCTCCTGGGAACAAACAGAGTTGCAACCGCTTGTAAAAGCAGTTACGCTTCCTAAGCGTAATGACTCGCTGAGTACAGCGTACTTGCAAATTTCCGATCATCTGCAACAATCTCCGACACCAACATGCTTCTCAACCTCATGGAGCTCTACGGACATGCTGAACTGACGCTTGGGGTACAGATGCCCACAGCTCGCTTGATGACCAACTTCGTGAAAGACGTGTCTCTCAATGCATCGTGCTCCATTCGAGTTGGCGCTCGTGGTGGCAACATGAACGAGTACGTTTGCACAAGCTCCACCCCTTGTGATTGGCGTGTTGTTGCTCGCCGTAAACACCAACCCCATGGTGGCAGCTCTTTTTACTCTATCACCGAGCTGCTCCCGATGCACTCACACATTTGCACGTCAGTGGCTAAACCTACAGAGCGGCAGCTTGCTCTCCTCCCCACCGTTGTGAGTTGTGAGTATGGTGCGTTCCAATACAGCCATCTCTCGAACGGATCTCGTTTCTACTGTCCAAGACCTGGACGGGGTGAACATGGAGTCCAAAGTGGCCGGTGTGTACCGTGTGAAGGATTTGATTGTCAACGCTGACCTGTGCGACGTTGCTGCTTCAACTTCTACGTTGCCTTCAATTTTGCTGGTTTTCGAGCGTGCCAATCCCGGATCTCGGGTGAATTTTGAATTGGACACTTTCGGACGTTTCTACCGTGCCTATGTGTGCTGCAAAGTCAATACCAACGCCCACGAATTCAACTTGAAGCTTTTGGGTTCAGACGGTGCACACTTCAAGCACAAGGATTACAATGGTGTGTTGCTGAATTTGATTGGCCGAGATGGAAATGAGAAAAATGTACCTTT